TGGTAGGGCCACGCAGCTGCCTCGGCTGTTGCACGAATGGGCAGGCTCGTCCGAGTAAGGGCCACGACCTCACAGAAGACCGGCGTACAGTGGAAGTATAACAAATACTTTCGCGTTTCGTCTGGTAAATGAGGTAGCCGGAGGTTATCATCGTGTCCATAACCCTCGGGTGTAGCAGATGTCCATGGGCGGCGGTATTCACTTAACATCAGGTGAACCGTCTGCTCGTTTGGCAACTTTTAACATAAAAAAACGACCCCGACAACGAAGCCAATACCTTGGCAACTGCGCCACGGAGTCTTTGCAAGCTACAGCAGCCCGCAGCAACAAAACTAATCTAAAAATCGAGTTTCACACGGAGCGCGAAACTCGCGTATCTAATCGAGTTAATACACTTAGATATTTATACGCCGCGATGCTTAAATAATAATACGGAGTTTTTAGCTAGCTTATTGGCATTGCATTGTGTCGCCATCGTCGCGTGGTAGATTAACGAAGACATCCGACCACATTGTGCCCTCGTCCAACCCGATTGAGGAATGCGGGATGCGTCAGTTCCCTGACGGTACTCAGTCATAAATGTCAGTGTATTTCCCGCCACTTATTTAAAAACAAAGATGTATCCTCTTTATTCCTTTATGAAAACGCTTCCCGCGATGTCGGCGTACTTTATTCGCCTCTTCTACACACTTGAACTTGAAAATACCACGCTTTGTCAATCTTTGCTCTATATCGGGGCAGAGTAAAAAGCAAAGTAACTGATGTGCACATGGTATTAACACACCGCCCCACTGGCGACCACTGGGATTTGCGGAATTCACATATCTTCGAAATATTTTTTGTCGTCGCTATTATATCGAAAATATGCAGATTTAATGTTTTCCTTCACCGTCATACACGTGGTAAGTCAGAACTTAAAATTACCAATTTAATTGGTGCCGGCACCGGGGATCGAACTCAGGTTGCTCAAGTATATTGAATTAGCAAGCGCCCTGTCACTGAGCTATCGCGGCTCTTCGGGGCTGAGTCACGCGATCCTTATTCTTTCCCACCCTAGCACATCTCGTGAGCTGAGTCAGTTGCTATGACATCACCAGGACTCGAACCCCGTCTGGCCTTTTCGCGAACAGTACAGCGCTTTGTTATAAAGTGGACGAACCAATTCAAAGCGCTAGTAACGTATTCACATTGTTAAAGCAGACATACGCTAGGTACGAAGTTCTAACGATAGGCTGTTGAGAGTGAGGCAAATGAAGTATCTTATTCTAGACTAGAACTTATTGTTTGTATATTGATAACGTAATGTACATCGTAAGATGCGACGCTTTTTAAACGCATTTCTTTAGTAATCATAATTTAAACACGTGTGTAATATCACCTTAGCGACTGGGTTATTCTCTATGTGAAAAGTTGGCAAAACAACAGGCAGTTGACCTGTTGTTAACTGATCACCGCCACCCAAGAATACCTGCAACTCGTGCGTTGCTTAACTTTTAAAAAAAAGGCCCCGGTTACCTCAGTCATAGTGAGTGCACGGTAATTCCCGGGACGAGCCACCCATTCGAGCAACAGCAGAAACTACTGCGTGGGCCTACCGCAGTTGGAGACTTTGATTTGCAATAAAACTAAAGATAAACTATTCCGCCTATCACCCACTCACGTTCTCAAACCCATCCCCTGTAGTCTACAGCCCAAGCCTAAATATGAAAGGCACAGGAATCCACTTTCAAATATAGATATCTCTATTGATCTCTCCAGGTTCCACTGAAAACCAGCAATCGCAAAATTTTTCCGCGATGTAATGCCGATCGGTGACCTTTTTGGTGCATTGATTTTTAAATTGTTATTGTTATATTTATTATTTTATGTTTTTGTTATCTGCCAAATAAATATTTCTTTCTTTCTTTCAATAGGTAGTCCAATTAAAACTTTCGAATAATCATCACGATACGGTGTTTACATTTACATTAAAAACAAAATAATCTCGCTTATTACATAGTAGCGTTAACGCGTATAACTTATACGACGCGTTGCCACGATAAGATAATAAAAATGAAAAATTCTCGACCGCAACAGGACAAAGTTACAATACAAAGATAAGATACAACAATTATGTCAGCGGGGCGAACAGATTGCGATTTGGACGTTTCAAACTTGAAAATCTTACTTACGCCCGGTTTGTGAAACTAACTAATCAGCTGTCAAATGGGCTGTCAAATATCATCTCAGTTGCCAAAAGGTTGGTTAAACTCTTTGAATTGATCATACGACATCATTCTGATCAATTCAAAAAAGTTTCACCTTTTGGCAACTCGAATGAATTTTGATAGCTGATTAGTTAACTTCTACGATGATCAGTGTTTCAGAAACCGGGCGTTACGCATTAACGTCATTTAACCTAAAGGCGAATAAATTTTAAAAAAAACTCCTCATTGTTATATTGCGCTACTAATAAATCGGCCAGAACGGACACATTTGATGAATTTAGTGCTAGTGAAACTCTTTTGCAGATAAAGTGATGCCAACATTTCGTTTTATTACTGGGCTACAAACCCACTGGTTGCGGTCGAATTGCGACGTTAATTTTAAACCAAATAAAGTGATTCAAAGAGTGGGTCCGGATTGCTATCTATCTCCGTTACAAGTTTCATTCAAACCGGTCTGAGCGTTGCTGCATAAAGGGAACAAAATGGACGTGCTACCCAGAGGAGTGTATGACAATTGTATATGACAAGTTGCCACATCTCACCATGTAGATATTCGATACTAGGTAGAGAAATTGTTTAAATGGCACCAAACGCGGTGAAAACAGTAATTTTAACTGTCGTAAAAGTAACAGAGCCCTAAATATATATGCAAATCGTCGAGTAATTACCGAGTCTCATTATAAAATACGTTCTATTATATCTGTATTCATACAGTACACCATACACTGTCAGCAACTATGTGCCTACCGCGGTGAACATGGCTAACAAATAGTTTTTAAATTAAACATCGCCGAGTTAACTAAGATTGACTTAATTTTAATCCGTCATTCTTCTTTCAGGAGGCAATCGTTCTGTACAGCTCGAAGCCATTCGTAATAGCCACTAATAGGCGAGGATAAAAAATAGGATAATCCTATAGCAATTTCTTAAGGGAATATAATCCCCTTGCCTATCCCTAGTTTATGTGAACATGACGAATAGTCAGCAGAACTGTGGTCATTCACCCCGACGGAGGCGACGGGAGAAATGCGCACGGTTTCCGAAACAAGACGCGTAGCCGGCAATTTGTCAGCGAATTTATATTCCGAGCGCCCTCCGCGCAGCCCGCAGCAACAACCCTCGGGATATCTTAGTCATAATATATGAAAAAGATAAATTCGAACCATTACGCCGTATCGCTTTCCAGAGCATCGCTTTCAAGTTTTAGTTCGTGTAGGGTTTTGAAATAAACGAAATAAAACTAGTGGAAACATTAAACTAAACGTCACATGTCAGTGACAAATGAATGAAATCAAAACTAACACTGCTCAACACACACGAACACGATATCGCTTATCTTGTTTCTACCGAGTCGCCGGTGTAATCTTGAAAAAATTCCGAGCGTTGATACTTCATCTCCTGTCGACCTCCAGTTTTAATTTCAATACAAAAGCTAACGTTTAACATTAACTTCCCGATTATCAGAACAGGTGTGACTTGGCTCGATCTTAGCAGAAGCTAAGCGCAACAAGTAAACGCCAGTCTACTGACGCTATCCTGTCTCCTAGCCATCCATCGCTTTAACCTACACCTGATTCAGAACATCTCCAACTGTGTTCATTGCTTGAGATTTGGAGAGACTTTTATAATCCTTTACCCCAAAGAAATACCGAGAACTTGTCTTTATGACTGAGCTTTTGAAAGTACCTACATTGTTTTAGAAATAAACCACAACATCGCCTTTCATTTTTAAATTGGGTCTCACTATGTGTAGAACCCAATTTAAAATGAACGATACGCTGAAATGTCGTAGTAACCAATTAAACAATTTAGAACTTTCCATTGATAAAGTAGAAATTGCTTGTTTCGCGCGAATTCTTCGTGGGCAATATCGTGATGATACGATATATAGTTTCGAAAAGAGTAAAGAAAAAGTATTTATCAATTAATGTTGTTTTATTTTGAAGAATACAGGTAAATATTAGCGATATTATAAAATTTCGTTATCATTATAAACAATATGTGTAATTGCCAAACATTTTATAGTAGATATGAGCTTTCGTTATTATGATTATATTTTTCTAGTGCTTTAACTTACATAACCTCTATTAAAATAATGTAGCAGTTATATCGTAATCATCACTTACTTTTTGCCCGCATCTGTATTAAACTCAAACATATATATCATATCACTTCTACATTAATTATGGATTTAATGCTAAAGTTATTTTACTGATAAAAGGCGTCTTCAAGGCAAGAGTGAATAGGTTTTTACTGAGCTAGCGCGCTTACATCAAAGGCTGCATCGCCACTTACCATCAGGTGGGATGGCAGTCAAGTGCTGGCCAGTTCGAAATAAATAAAAAATTAACTGCTTGTTATGACATAAACGGAGAGCGTAATCTTCACCACTGAACGAACCGTGTGCCGTATCGACAGGAATATAAATAAATATAATAAATAAATATTTTAGGACACATTTTTACACAACATTTTCTAGTCCCAAACTAAGCAACGCTTGTACTATGGGTACTAGAAAACTGATAAACATACTTAAACATACTTTTCTTTTGTAAATAAATACATATTATAGATATATAAACACCCAGACACTAGAAAAACACTATGTTCATCACACAATATTTTTCCAGTAGTGGGGATCGAACCCACACCCTCTGGCGCAGGAGGCAGGTAAACTAACCACTACGCCATTCAGGTCGTCATTTATCATTTGGAAATCGATCGTACATCACTCGATCGAAAAGTATTAATGAATAGTGAGTTTAACCTAGTGGGGTGGTACGTGGTACTCACCGATGACTACCAGGTCGATGTCGCTGGTGGGCAGGTAGAGGCCGGTGCGGAACGAGCCGAAGACCTCCACCCGCGCCTGGGGCCACAGCGCGAGGATTGCGCCACGGATGCGGTTCACCACCGTGGTGCGCACCAGGTGCTCCGTCTCCGTGGGCGACATGTACAGGTAGAAGTGCTCGATCTCCTCGTGCAGCCTGCGGGCACACGCGGACCACAATTTAATGAACACCTCACTTCCAGAAGCAAAGTTTTGATGCCTCGGCGGCGCAGTTGCTAAGTTATTGGCTTCGGCGGCGGGGTTCGTGGGTTAGATCCCCACACGGGACATCTATTTGTGTGATCCACAGATAGTTATATCTCACCCGTATCTGAGTGTTTGTCCACGTGAAACTTATGTTTGTAAAAACGTCCTTACAACACAGGATAATGTTATCATAAAGAGCAGTGTATAAAAAAAAAGAAGTCCAAATTTCCTTATTCAAATTTATAATTCGAAATTATTTTATCTAGTTAGTCAACGCTATTGCACGAATGGGCAGGTCCACCCAAGGAAGTACCAGGACGTCACATAAGACCGGCGTGAAATGGATACACTCCTACGTTTCATCTGATGAGTAAGGTGGAAATTTGCAACCCTACGAGTGTGGCAAATTTCCATGGGCGGCGGTTATCACTTATCAGACAAACCGCCAGCTCGCTTGCTACCTTCTCTTATAAAATAAAAACTAAACTTCCATTTCGTTCACACCTTGTGGCCACGATGGCCGACCTCCGATGTGGGGTCTCGAGTTCAAGTCCCGACGTGGCATCACGTTTGCGAAGAGCTCGATTAAAATGGAAGACATCTCAACTGTATCTGTTAAATCCGTTGGACTAAGGGCGTCAGTGATTCAAATTCAAATATTTTTATTCTATATTGTACTCGCGACCCGCCCCGGTTTCGCACGGATGCAATGAATTACACATATAAACCTTCCTCTTGAATCACTCTATCTAGTGAAAAAAAACCGCATCAAGATCCGTTGCGTAGTTTTAAAAATCTAAGCGTATAGGACAGACAGGCAGCGGCACGACTATGTTTTATACCATGTAGTTTACACTTACTGATTGTCAAAAAACACTACTACCGGTTCGGAAAAAAAACCCACTGACCTGAGAAGAACCGGCGAAAGTAACTCAACGTGACATTTTTTTAAATATAATTTTACAAATATAACGAACATGTACACAATATGAGTGATAGCTCAGTGTCCGGGCGCTCGCCTTTAATTCAATATACTCGAGCAACCTGAGTTCGATCCCCGGTGCCGGCACCAATGAAGTTTTTAACTTTAAGTGCTGACTTATCACGTGCTCCGCTTTGAAGGAAAACATCGTGAGGAAACCTGCATATTTTCGAAATAATACCAAAAAAAATATATATTTCGAAAATATGTGAAGTCCGCCAATCCGCAGTGGGGCCGCGTGGTGGTCTATGCCCTGATACCCTCTGTATAGAGGAGGCCTTTGCCCAGCAGTGGGACATGTATAGGTTGTTACTTTACTTTTACACAATATATTCAATTTCACTTGAAAGAGCTTGGAGCCATCAATTCGTTTCCAGAGTGTTTTAGTATGTATTTAAATAATCACTAATACTATAATAGCCTCTGACACACAAACGTTCATTTACAATTTTTTTTTTTGAATTTAGCAACTGATTCATTTTGAACACGGGATTTTGTTGTAAAACCGTATTGTCCCATAAAAGATTTACTTACTCGACACAATCTAGATAAGGGTAGAATTAATTTATTTTAATGTTATAACTTTCGTTACTCGGTTACCGAGACATTCTGTGTGGTACTCGCATATGACAAAAGCAAAGAATCGAAATTGAACTACAGCGCGAGGATACAATTTTAAATGACAAATAAGGAAAAACGGCTTCAGTGCGGATAAAAAATGTGCTATTGTTCTTATGTCAACAATCGCAAAAGGCGATTCATAAATAATTCAGTTTTTATCAATCCTCTGCAAGACATCTTTATCCAAACGGATGTAATGTAATGTAAAAAAAACGAGTAAGACGACCGAAACGGTGAATATTTGTTTGTTCAAATAAAGAATAAAAATAGTAGCTTTTCATAATTTTTTTCATTTCTCATCATGGACTCAACAGACCGAATGTCCAAATCGAAAAGTCATTAAATATTTTAAATAGACATCACATTTTTCATATTTTTAATGTTTCTTCGTGAAACGGCTTATTTCCCGATAAATTTTCAGACAGTTTCCTGAACACATTTGAATGACGATGTTAATGGAGAATACTACGCAGGTATCAGATACAATTGAAATAACGAGATAATGTTACAACGGCGATTGGTCTAGTGAAAACCACCTTGACTAGCAAGTAGGCCCGTCAGAGAGCAGAGTATTATTAAAATACGAAGATCGCAGAGCGGCAACGATGCGCTAAGCACGCTCCGATGCTCCTTACTAACGAGCGGCCAGTGCCCCTTTCAAGTTCCTCTAAACTTAATTTAATATAATACTAGGCTTCCCGCTAGCTCGCAGCGTACCAGATATTTAAAAAGTACCCTAACGCGCGGTCTCTGAAATACTGATCATCACTTGATCATTCTGATCAATTCAGAGAATTTAACCATCCTTCTGGCAACTCAAATAACATTTGCAAATCCGTTTGACAGCTGATTAGTTGACTTCTACGATGATCAGTATTTCAGAAACCGGGCGTTAGTGTTTAGGCTAATCTTAAACTTTTCAGTATTCGATCAACGTTGCGGTGTCAAGAGTAAAGAATAATAAGCGTTTGCTTTTTGAAATAAGGAGCTTTGTGTAACTAATGTCAGTGTACATTTCGTTAACAAATAAAATAAAATAAGTAAAACAAACGAAGAAGCTAGGTACTATCATCTACGTTGATGAGAGCCACTTAGATTCGAATGCAACCGAGCCATAGTTCCGAAGAGTATTTGGAGATTGTAGGCAGCGTGTACCGCGCGTGGCGGGGGCGGGGTGTTGCGGGGGCGGCGGGGGTATTCGACGGGGTCAAAGACCCCCACCCTCCTCTAGGCCACGCTGATGACCCAGTGTCTGGCCCACGTCTCGGGGGCGTACGTACGAACGCACCGCACGACACGCGGCTCAATTAGTGCGGGGGCGTTTATTGCCAAACACGGGAACTATTGAATAACCACCATTTCGGGGAAAGCCTCCAAGTCACAAGCAAAAACGTAAACTCAAACGTGAGTCAAACGACCGGATTCAATATTCAATCTACAGATAGATTGTGTTACTGGAGACAAGAATTTTTACGTAAGTATTGTAAAGCCAATGTCAAAAACCTTTCGCTGGTGGTTATTAACTTCTATTTGGCTTAATCAATCTGTAGATAGAATATTGAAACCGGCCGTTGCTCTTTTATCTCCTTGCTAGGTATGGGATAATATCATCGTATACCAATTCATTGGAGCCGTGATAGTCCATTGCCCAAGCGCTCGCTTTTAATTCAATATTCGAGCAACCTGAGTTCGATCCCCGGTGCCGGCATCAAGGAAATTGTTTATTTTATGTATTATCACGTGCTCAGCGGTGAAGGAAAACATCGGGAGGAAACCTGCATGTTTTCGTAATAATAACAAAAAAAATATTTCCACGCGGCGTGGTGGCCTATGTGCCCTGATACCCTCGGTACAACGGAGGCCTTTGCCCGGCAGAGGGATATATAAAGGCTGTTACTTTACTCTCTTTTTACTTATATTCCAATTCATATAAAAGAAGGTCTACAAGCGACGGTGACCATTTACCAGCATCTTTACCCTATAGCTAGATCGCTTGCCACAGCCACCGTAAAAAATCAAATGAGAATATTAATATATAATGTTCACCGACTGTGTTTCACCTTCAGTGCTGAGATTATAATAAAAAATAATAATATCTATATAATATTGTTAGAGTCAAATTAACTAAACTTCTTATAACCAAGTAAAGGGTAGACTAGGTAAAGGGTAGGTAGGTAAATAAATAAATAAATAAATAGAAACAAATGTCGCTGAGATCTTTAATTAAATAGTATATTTCTTTATATTATTACAGGTATTAATGTAATAAAAACATAAACAGCTAGTCAAACCATTAATTAAATTCGAGTACCATCGAGTTCTCAAGTACAATAGTTTCGAAAGCTAAAACGCAGCTTGGCGCGGCAGAAATGATAACAAGACTTAAATTTCAGTGGCGACTCAGACGAAAATTTTTTTTTATTCCTCTTCCAACAAGTCGACGAAAGCTGAGTAATAAGACCGATGCGAGTTCTGCGGGCACCGCAGAAAATGAAAAATAAATCAATAGCATTCCACGCAAGGACTCTGTGTACTGGGTGTAATGCGGTCGCGAACACGCCTTCCGTCCTAATTGAAAGTGATCTTTCGCGCGACACCGCAAAGAATTCCGTCCGATTCATTGCGTACAGTCTTAATCTCGAGCGTAATCGTCCGAGACCGGTCCGGCGACATTCGGACACGCGAAAAAGGAAACATTACGAAATACGCACTCGGTCGGACAGTGGTTTGGAAAGGAATGCAAATCAATCTGTCAGTCACCATGCGCTACGGGAGGTCGCAACAATCCCTTGACCTTCGCGCGCCGAGGTCATCGGTCGGAGCGGAACTCGTGCTACGCACCCCTCTCTCGCCAGGTTCTTCGAGACGCAAAGGAGCCAACATTTCCCCCCTTTATAGAGCTTTCTGTTATTACTGCGCATTTCGGAGAAATCACTGAAACACTGTCTAATCAGCTGTCAAATGGATTTTCAAATGTTATTTGAGTTGTAAAGGATTGTTGAACTCTCTGAATTGATCAGGATGATCTTAATGATTAGAATGTTGACTTCTATGATGATGTGTTTCAGAAACCGGGCGTTAGGAAACAATTTACGAATTTTTAATTCCATAGGGTTGGGTGCTACAATCAGCTTGGGATCCTATCATCAATAATCATAAAAATTATCAATAAAAATTAAGACCCAAACGAACCGCTTCTGCAAGACATGATACATTAGCTCCTTCTGCATAGATCGGACACAAAATTAATCAAATCATAAAAACATCCACACGTCCAACGCCTCACCCTGTCCCGTGACCATGAACGCTGTAAAGGGTTCGTATAGTCGAAAATAAAAATTAAAAAA